ATAATGTAAGATGTATATTTGAGAAAAAAAAAAAAACTTTAAGAGTGGAGAATAGAAATTACAGGCTTCATGAAGATAAGCTATTCCACGAGCTGCACCAGCCGCAACTTTTACTCTGGTTGCCCAATCCATCACCGGCCTTCCTTCACCTGAAAATGTCAGATAATTCAGGAACTTAGTCCGATAGGTATCACATAAATTCTAAATGGTACATTAGTTGAATGCCAGAGAGCGCTGCATCTTTTGAATATGTCTTCAAGATGAGAACCAATATAATAAGGGGGCTGTTTATGTGAATGTATTGCTATTGCTGAGTGCTCATATAACAACTCAACAGGGGCGTACAAAACACAACAAACTAAGCCTTAACATTTGCAATATTCCTTGATTTAAATGTGTCATCCATGTGCAAGGAACGGGTGTACCCTATCCCCAATTTAATTTACGGTGTTAGCAGGACTGCAACAGAGTATGGACCTCAGGCTCAAATTCACAATATTTAAGATTTCTTATTTATTCACTTAGTTCTTACCATGAAGATGGTAATCAAGGGTGTTGTTTGGCACATAATCATAGACAAGCAACCTTTGATGCTCGGATATACAGTAACCCACAAGTGAAACCAAATGCCGATGGTGAATCCTGCTGATGATCTCAACTTCAGCTCTAAATTCACGCTCCCCTTGTCCACTACCAGCCTTTAGCTGTTTAACAGCAATTTCTCGTCCATCTGATAGAACTCCTTTATAAACACAACCAAAGCCACCTGCACCCAGAATGGCTGAAAACCCATTTGTTGCCTTGGATAGTTCTTCATACGTGAACCATGACCTTGAATTGCCTATGCCACCATGCTCTGGTGAGTAAATGAAATTGCTTGCAGAAGCACTTCCAGCTAGTTGAGCTGAATTCTGTGTCCTTAGGAATGATGAAGCTGGAAATAATAGAATGATAAATGGTATATCATCACCGATTAACAAAGATCTATTTATCAATGTTCACTGACCGTTTATAAGATGGACAGAAGCTTGTCAATATTATTTACTTTCAAGAACTAAAATTTAACATAAAAGTAAAAAAGGTCGATAGGTGAGTTCTGTCACAGTTAAGCCTGCTCAATAATTCCAAAAGGAAGAATAGATCACTCTAAAATTAGCACTGTAAAGTTAGGTTTATCATCTTGGTAAGTTGGGTTTACCTTTTTATAACCAAATTAAAAGCAGTTTAAAAATGACAAGTTAAATAAGCTAATGGGTGTGAAGCGAAGTTTTGGTTAAGACGACGAACTGAAAAATGTATCATTCATCAAACAATATACTGCAAAATGTACCACTAGAGCAAATTCATTTGAAAACGTCTGAGGTCACCAATTTCTTCCAAGGACTATTTACCTCTACATTCCAGGAAATTCAAACGCTCCACAGACAGAGAAAAAAGTGGAGTCTTGGTCAGAAGCTATAATTATTTTTTTCTTCCAGCAAGTTAATATCATGAGACAGAGTATATAGGTGACATGATCCACATAGGAAAATGCTGTTATAACGTGTACTGGCTAAATAAGAAAGCTATTTGACGGGCTAATCAACATCGTCTAATGTACAAATGAATACATTATCCAAAATGGAAGATAAGTATTGTATGACGAGATGTGGAAATGTGGTCAAAAAATACCTGAATTTTGCGAGGATGCAAAAGGAGAGGGCAAGGCTCCCTGATTAAATGCGTCCTTCCTTTTCTTTCTTTTATGTGTATACCACACTGCCAGCACTACAAGACTGAGCGCCAAAAACCCCACAACAATGCCAATAGCTGCTACACCTCCTCCTCTAAAACCCCCTGAATTATTTGATTGTACACCTGAAGTTATATTAGGATTAGGTGGAATTGATCTTGCAGTGGGTTTCTCTGCAGGAGAAGATCCATTCCTTCGAGGAGCAGGAGGAGATATAGAAGGTGGCAAATATGATGATGGGACAGGAGGAGGAGATGAAACGAAAGCCGGTGGAGGAGCACTAGTTAAAGGTGGGGAACCAGCAGGAGGGGGTGACAATGCAGGAGGTGGAGGAGAACTTTCTGGTGGATTTACAACTGATGGGGGAGGTGGAATAGCTGTAGGTGGTGATGCAACTCTTTCTGGTGGGGGAGGTGAGGATGGAATAGCTGGAGGACGAGGTGGTGATGCTTTGGGAGGGGAAGCTTCTGATGGTGGGGAAGGAGAGGGTGGAATAGCAGGAGGAGGTGGTGGTGATGTTTTCGGAGGGGAAGCTTTCGATGGTGGGGGAGGAGACAAAATTGGAGGTGGTGGAGAATTGGCTGCTGGAGGAGGGGTAGCAGCAGGAGTTGGTGGTGGTGAATTTACTGGGGGAGATGGGGGAGGCAATGGGGGTGGAGAAGTAGGCAGCGGCGGTGGTGATGCATCAGGTGAGGGTGATTGAAGTGGGGCTGGAGGAATTGGCGGAGGAGGAGCTGAAGAATTGGATGGGCGAGACGGAGAATTTGGAGATGGTGATGCAGAAGCCATCTACCCAAGTCCTAACAATTCCCTAATCAAGAAATTCTGTATTTCAGCTACAAATCATTCTATAGCAAAATTTCACCCACTAAAATTCCTAAAGTTTCCAATCTTTACAAATCAATGAATCAATAAACTACATCCATTCACAGATTAATATAAAAAAAATTCCTATCCAAAGAACCAATCATCCACAGACCAAGTCCTTTCTAAAACCCCAAATTCTGCATACATCAAGAAACAGCAAAGAGACTTCCAGCTTTCAGTTTAACCAAATGGAAGCCAAGTTAACAAGAGCCAAACCAAATTCGATATTTTTTATTCATAAAAGTGATGAGAAAATCCCGGATTGAGCACACTCAAAAATCGTACATTGATATTAGCAGAATGAAGATTCAAAATTTTACTGTAAAACCCAAAAGGCCCTAAACATTCAATTTTGAAGCCAGTACAGTCTGAATGAGTAAATGGGCATAGAAGAACGAAAAAAAAACTCCTCCGCTGAAATATGAAGAAAGTCTCACCACACTGTAACAGGCTGTAATCATGAAATTCCAGAAAGAAGAAAAGAAAAGAAAAAAAAATAAAAAAATCCCCAACAAAAATTAATGGCGCAATGAAATGCCCAAATGACGTGGCTGCAACTTAAAATTAATCTTAAATAATTCCACTTCAAAATATAAAAAATATTACAAAGTACGCGGTGTAAAAGGATAAATTGCATTTGAAGTCACTGAACTTTCACCATACTTCTGTTTGGGTTACTAAACTTCAAGTTGATACAATCAAATCATTGTACTTTAATTCACAAGCAATTAGGTCATACTATTTGGGTTCCATCAATTAGTATCCTTAAATGTCCCTCAAAACTAATAACATGTCAACATGTCGATCCATTTTCTTCCTCGGCTTCGCTAAAAGTGCATTAGAGGTCATTGAACTTTCACCACACTTACATCTAGGTTAGTTAATTTCAATATGGTGAAATCAAGCCACTACAATTTCATTTATAAGTAATGAAGTCACTCTAAGTTTCGTTAATGAATCCAGTGTTTATTTAAGAATGATTTATTTAGCAATTGAATTGATTTATTTAAAAACCAAACATCATAAATGAAGAATAAAGCCCCCTGTTCCGGCTTAAGGACAGGGTTGAAGACAAGGGCGCCATGTGGTGCCCCCTATTGGAGGGGCACCGACCTGTCCCTCCAATAAGGTGGCGCCCCTATCCCCAAGTCGAGACAGGGATCAGGGTTGATAAATGAATAACATAAATACACATGAATGCATCTTTTTCGATGCCCTTTTTCCACCCCCTTCATTTATCAATTTTGTTTGAAGGCAATAACTTTCAACAATAAATCTGACATTTCAAGGTAATTTAGAAGAGAGTAAAAAACAAAAAAATATATATGAATAAGAACATCAAATACCTCAAGTTTCTTGCATCAAAAAATAGGTGTCTTGGATTACTAGTTGTCTATGATGTTCTAAAGATTAATCTTTCTCATTGTCAATATGATTGACCAAATTTTCACCCCAAACACTTCGATTATAGATGTGGAAAAACCTTACAAAATTTCCCATTTCTACCACCAAATAGATTGAAGTGATTATTCATATAAAGTACATTGACGTGATTGCACAAAATTGAAGTTCATCTACATAGTTGCTAGTATTATAAAAATTCAGTGACGTAGTCGTAAATATATTGAAAGTTAAGCGACCTATAGTTCAATTTAAGATGAGCTAGTGCAAAATTGGTTGACATATTGACACTTTGTTAGTTTTGACACATATGTGAACTTGCTAATTAACGAAATTCAAATGAGTGACCTTATTGCTTGAAAATCTAAGTATAATGGCTTGATAATGTCCTACTTTGAATCTTTACTTCGAGCTATAATCATATTCAATTAATATTTTTACAAGAAGTGTGTCCAATAACTGTAACAAAATTATATCTTTCTTTTTATTTCTAACATTATGTCGCAACGACTAATCCTTACAATCAAACATGTCACAATTCAAAGTCATCCTTCATATTCCTTTTCCTATTGACTTATCTGCCTTGCTGATTTAATGATAATTTGGGAAAGTAATAGTCTAATAAATTTACAATAATCTACATTTTAGGATTTTATTTTTTTTTAAAATTTTTTACTTGTTAGGAAAATTAAAAGTTTATAACATATTTCTGAAAATCAAAAATTTAACAAAAGCTTTACTACATAGTTTTTGTTTTGTTTTGTTTTGTTTTTAATTCACGGTGGCGCATTTTCTTTAAATTTAAAATAAAATAGTACAACTTAGAATGAGATTACACCTGACCTCCAGTCAAAGTAAAAAGATAATAGCTTATATTGTTTGAAAACATATGTTACAATATAAAGTGAAAATAAATCTAATAAGAGTTTTCGACAAAATAGTTTTTTACAAATTTAATAAAAGTTGATGAGATATGTAATGGAAAAGTTAATAAAAATTGTGGGTCGAATCAAAATATAGTTAAAATTAAAGTTGAAAAGTCGATAAAACCTTAACAAGATTTTGTCAAGCAAGCATGAGAACTCATGTTGTCACATTCTTGATTTGGTAATCATAGGTGCTTGAGATAATGATCTCCTTATTGCATGGCTCAAAATCATTAGTCGACGCAGACTATCACAATCCGTTGTCCACTTGGTAATGCCCATGTCACCATGAGGTCCAAACATGTTATCATCATAAGCTGAAGTAACTGTCCCAAGTGTGGAATGGCTAACTGAAGAACGCGAATGGAGTCCATGAATTGAACTGAGGTTATCAAGTTTTTTTAATTATGACGTCGTAATAAGAAATTGCAGTTTTCACCCCTCGAGACACATCCCAACTGGCAAAGGATGGAGTTCTTCAAGGCGGACAGTTCAGAGGTCGCGGGTTCGATTCATGGGGCTCTTGGAAGGCAAGGCAAGGCTTTCTCCTGGAATGTAGGATATTTCCTGGAAGGCAGGATTTCCTTGAAGGCAAGGCGCATACATGAGTTTGACTCGCTCGGCACTTTGGCAGTTCAGTTGGGGGGCTCTTAGACTCTGGTCAATTTGGGACACAACTCGCGGTTTACCTGGTCTACGTGAAGAGGGGTTGAATCGTAGACCTCAAGATTAATCGCTGTAAGGTGGACACCTGAGTATAAAAAAAAAAAAAAAAAAAAAAAAAAAAAAAAAAAAAATTCATTTTTTTAAAAAAAAAAAAAAAAAAAAAAAAAAAAATAAGGGGAGGGGGGGTAAATAATAAGAAATAAAGAATAAAGAGATTAGGTGAAGGTGGTTGGAACATGGGCGTGACATTATAATTATTATCCTTCATATCTTACTAATAATTATAATTATTTCTCACGAGGGAAACGTTAGGCAGAAGCAAAGTCAAACCAACCAACATGAGCCCATGTACAAGTTCAAGGATTGGGGATGTGATCTCTGCTCACATTGGTGGTTGAAACTTTCTTAAAATTAATTCAAATATATTTGAAATTTTAAATTAGTTTTCATTTTAATTGAATTTTTTTTATAAAAAAAGTTCATTTGGGGAACATTCTTGTATTAAAATAAGAAGAATGAAAGATAAATACGAAAATATGATCCAGTAGCAAAGAGATTATTTTTACAATCATGCTACTTGTACATTTTATTTGACATTAACTTTGACATTGTGCCATACTTCACAACATGATTGGACAATTTCAAAACACCACACACTTTCCCACCTAAAACATTTTGAATTGCCAAACAATGTACACACAAATGTACAAATTAGAATGTACAAGGAGCTTCCCCTGGGGCATATCCTAGTGGTGCAAAGAGTAGGAGTGAGGTAATCTCAATTTTACTGGTAACCACAATGTGAGGGTTCGATTCCTGAGATATGGAATTGAACTCTTTGTAGGCACCAATGTACAAACAAACTCTTGTTTCTTGGCCTGTTGGGGCACATCCCGCGATTTACCTCCCCCATGATACTCCAGGGACAGGACGGTGAAGGTCCTCAAGGTTGGGGCTCAACCTTTAGAATGTACAAGAAACTTTATTCGAGATAGTATGAATGAATAACTATTTATGTTAAGAGGTTTGGCTAAGCTTAAAATTTAGAATACCTTTGTATAAAATCAAGAAGCGACTACTCTTTTCGCTTTCAATAGGCCGAGCATCAAGGCTATCAATGAGGAAATTGACTATTCGTTTATGTACTGTGGTCAAGCATCGGGGTTATCATTGGCAAATTCAGATAGCAACAATCAGTCTCCCAAATGTATAACTAAGCACATAATGACACGAAGTATGACTCGAGTACACGAAATTTAGTATGTATTTTTATTCGATGAATCCTTTTAAGCTTATTGTTTTAGAGGGTAGCCCAACCCTTCCTAAATTTTACTTTATTTATTAAATTACTTCATTATGAGTGGTTATTTAATTTGAAAAAAGTACTTTCAATTAATTTTTAAGTTTAGCTAAACATGGTGTAAGAGCTTGGAATACAGATCGAAGCATCAAGACGCAGCGCTTGGCCTTCGGTCATCATGGCTAGATTTGTCTTGTACTATGTCCATGTGACAAAAGGATATCTGGTCAATAAAATAATATTACACACAAATTCAAACTTTTTCTTCTCTTTTAACCATACATTTCTCATCAATACACTACTCAAAAATTCATTTAGATGCAGAGTTGAGACGGATGTCGGGGAAAGCTACTTGGAACAGTAGCTTTGAGAGTTTTACTACTGTATTGGAGCTGCTCGATCATCAGCACGGAGATATTCTACGACAGTCCTTCTTGTGGCCACTGTACCAGTTGCGAGAGGTGCAGTATTCAGGACAGATCATTGATGCACTTCTATGTCGGCTTCTGAGGCCAGTCGACGGCGATTCCCTCCAGTTCGACCTCGGGGGCAAGGTCGTCAGTTTCTCGATGTTCGAGTTTACATTGATCACTGGACTGAAGATTACGGGCGACGATGCAGCCATGGAGAAAAGCAGTAGGCTGTACGAGACGTACTTCCAGGGACATGGGTCGGTGCTTCTACCCGACTTGATGGTCTCGATCAGGGAGTGCGACCATATGCTAGATAGATTGAAGCTTGGGCTGGTCTACATCCTCGAGAGTGTGATGAGGTGTCATCACAAGAAGACTGCCATCGACATTTTTCATTTGCAAGTTGTTGACGACATCGATGCGTTCAACAACTATCCGTGGGGCCGAAGATGCTACGAAGACACCGTACATGTGTTCACAGATCGCACTCGAGGCCCAAGGGGTCGATGAGTAAATAGCGACTACTCTTTTCGCTTTCAATAGGCCGAGCATCAAGGCTATCAATGAGGAAATTGACTATTCGTTTATGTACTGTGGTCAAGCATCGGGGTTATCATTGGCAAATTCAGATAGCAACAATCAGTCTCCCAAATGTATAACTAAGCACATAATGACACGAAGTATGACTCGAGTACACGAAATTTAGTATGTATTTTTATTCGATGAATCCTTTTAAGCTTATTGTTTTAGAGGGTAGCCCAACCCTTCCTAAATTTTACTTTATTTATTAAATTACTTCATTATGAGTG